TCCCTCTGACCCTCCCCCCTCTCATGTGCTCTCTCTCTCATTCTCGCTCTCTCAAATAAATAAATAAATCTTTAAAAAAAGAAAAAAAAAGAAATGATGGTGCTTTTCAGAATGGGGTCGCAATGTGCTGCACATGGAAAAGCAGATGAGATTTCAGCCAGAATCAGGCAAATAAAGGCTCTGGCTTCATGATACCCAAATTTGTTTAAAAAAAAAAATGAAATCTTTTCTGCCCTGTCGAAAATAATTCTCAAACGTGGGGTCACGGCATACACATATACAAACACACACACACAAAAGCACGCATGACATAACTCGTAAAATGTGTATTTTACTGCTGATGCTAATAAGCAGGAGAGAGAGTAGAATTGCAGAGGTAACTGCTTGTGAACAACTTCCAGCCCACACACGCTATGCCGTCACCCCTTTGAAGGTTCCCATGGGTGTCAGGACGGGAGAAAGTCTTTTTTACTCCAGGGATTATCTAACTAAGTTTGGAAGAATAAGATATAAGTAATCACCAAATACAAACTAGGCCTTTAGATCAGATTCCATAAATACCAACGGAGCCAGCGCATTGGAAGTAGAAAATGAAAAATGGTAACCTTCTGGTCAACTGGATGATCCAGTTCCTCTCTAAAGATAACAGTATTTCTTACTCAACTGCTTTCCGTTATTTCCACAAAGCTGAGGAGAGTTCACTGCTGTCAAAATATTTCAACTTTCAAGAAAATCCCCAATCAGAACTTTCACTAGAAAATTCCTATTTTTGAAATCCAATTGTGGTAGTTTGCTAGGACTGCCATGACAAAGGACCACAGACTTGGGTATTCTAAACAACAGAAATCGATTTTTTTTTTTTTTCATAATTCCGAAGGCTAGATGTTGGAGATCAAGGTGCCAGCAGAGTTGATTTCTTCTGAGGCCTCTCTCCTTGTTTCGCAAATGTCTGTCTTCTCCCTGTGTTTTCTTCACATAATGGTTCTGTGTCTGTGTATTCGTGTCCTCTTCTTAAAGGATGACGGTCACATTGGATTAAGGCCCACCCTAATGACTTCATTTTAACTTAATTGTCTCTTTAAAGACCCTCTCTCCAAATACAGTCAAATTCTGAGGTTCTGAGTGTTAGGACTTCAATATATGATTTTTGTGGAGGACACAATTCAGCCCAAAACACCCATGTAGGTCCAAACACAACTTTACTGCAAGATGAATCTTGGCAATGACCATAATTATACAGTGCTTTCAATGGAAAAGGCACACTTATGGGCCATTTCAACTTATTGAATTCTCACAGTATCCCTATGAGGTAGGTAGTATTATGATCTCTCTTTTACAGATGAGACAGGAAGGGAGAGAGGTTAACTCACTCATGCAGTTACCTAGTGGAGCTAGGGTTGAAATCCAAGCAGTATCTGATGTTTCTGCTTGGACAGTCAGAGGTTTCCTGGTGAGAAAATGCCCTACTTGGACCCTGGACCTGTAAAGTAGAAGCAGTTAACTAATAAGAGTCAGAGTCTTGTCACCCCTAGGAATGCAAACCATCCTCATAAGATCAGACTTATATAAATGTCCTATGGATACATACCTATTCTCCTACCAAAGGGTTTTGCCAGGCCTTTCTGTGAAACCACTTGGATTTAAAATAACAAAGCAGGCTTTATCATCTAGAGAAGGTCCAGGGACTGAAGGAAAGCGAAGTTTGAATAACTTCACACACTAGTGCAAAATAGATCAGCATGAGTCTCTGGGGATCTGGGATAATCAGCAAGACAAAGTTGGAAAACTTCTGGAAACACTGTAATTTGTTTTGGCCATGGTTGCTGTTTGCCCCTTCAGCCACCTTGAGCATGAAAAGTGAAACTGAAAAAAGTCTCAGTCTGTGTATTTTCCAGAGCTCTAAAGAAATGATAACTTGCAGATCACCTCCTATTTGGAAGCTACTCTTGGGAGACCAAGACCATAAGACTCAGTGGTAGCCCTAAGGAGTAAAACTCTGCCCAGGCGCTATACATAAAACTCAGAATTCTGTACGAAAGAAGTGAGGATTTTAGTACTGGTAGCTGAGGCTCAACCAAGGGAAGAAACCTTCGGGCATCTTCCTATTTGTTCTCTCTCTCTCTCTTTCTTTCTGTGGGTGTGAGTATCTCATAGCTTTGTGAAAGGGTAAAGCAATAGAAAAAAATTTTTTTTTTCACATTTTCTCTTCCTGTTCCAATGAAATGAAGTAGTTCCTCCACAGGGCCCATTATGCCTAGTTAATTGATTTTCCTAATCGGGCATTTTTAAAAACAATTGAGCTCTGTGAACTTCTGGATGTTTTTTTCACTGCAGACTTGAGAGGCACACACCCACTGATTTTTGTATTTTTAGGCTATGTTATTTGAACACAGATTAAGGCAATTTTTTTCATGGCTTCTATTGACATATAATTTTCTACCCTGAGTAATTTTTCTTCACTTCTCATGTACTTGCATTTAGACCTAACGGGGAACTGTGGTTCTTTGTGGAGCATCTGAAACTTAGCAGTGCAAGGCTGTATGTCTAAAACCATTATCACACGTCCAAACTGGAACACCCTAACTGTGATGCTTATCAACACAGAGCAAGCTCTCTTCTCCTGAATGTGCGAAAAGGCATTTGACCTCCCAAACAGTTATTTGATCATCTAAATCAGCATTTGCTTCAACTTGGCTGAAATCATGTTAGGGCCTGAAGAGGAGGAAGCCTGAGGAAGGTAGGAGAGGACAAGTGGGGCAATTGTGATTTGGCATATTAACCCAAGATACAGAGGTGTTTTCTAAAACTGCATTTCTTCCCCTCAAATGCTCTTTGAAACAAGGTGTCCTTAAAAAAACCCTTATTTACTAGCACTTAATATAGTGGAATTTGCATGGGTGTTCTCCTAGTCTATTATTTTTCCTTACCACAATTTGGTCACAAGGTAACAAATCAATTCTATGGCTTTGGAACATTGCTGATGCTAAAACATCTGTGCTACCGGCTTACAAGTTTTCCAAACAGAATAGTTAGGCATGCAAGTGAGTGGCTGAAAAGCATATTCATGTATGTAGTGAAAAGGCTAGAAATGTATTATTATTATTATTACTATTATTATTATTATTATTTGGTCATTTCTGGGTAGCAGGATTATAAGTAATGTTTTCATTTAATCTAGGTTCATTTCTCATTTTCAAGCAGTAGATACAGATGTGAATGTAGATGACGTCTACATCTGTATTTCCAGCCTCAACATCTTTTAAGTGGTTAGCTGTTTCCATCTCTCATCTAGCTATCCTAACCTGGAAAACTCAGAAGGTTCTAAGCTGGAGTCATTATAGGATCCAAAGATTCCTGTTTCCCTTATTTCTGCTTATCTAA